GGTCTCCCTAGCGACTCGCCCGGATCTGGAGCTCAGAGTCTGAAGCTCCCTCCCGATTGTAAACAACCGCGCCCTCCACGCCGCCAGCCCGTTCCGCGCGCACTCCTCACCTGAGAATTTCACTTCAGCACTGCCTCCTCTGAGTCTGGATATGATATTCTCTTTACTCCTAGTTGTAGAATTTCCACTCAGCCAGCCCTCCTGTGGTTCTGGATGGTGTCCGTTCCGACTTTTAGGTGTAATTTGAATTGGTTGTTTGAGGCAGCAATCTCTGGCGTTAACCTATGGCGCCATCTTGGTTTCTCCCCGCTTTCACCACTCTACCCCAGATTTTTTTTTTCCATTTCCATTTGCATGAAATATCTTTTCCTATCCTTTTACTTTCACTCTGTGTGTATCTTTTGTTCTGAGATAGGCCTGCTGTAGACAGCATATATGTGGGTCATGTTTTCTTGTCTTTCTTTACTTTTTAAGTTTACATACTGCTTTTTTATTGTATTGACTAGAGGCCTGATGCATGAAATTTGTGCAAGGGGCTTGGCCCTCGCAGCCATGGTGGCTGCCTCAGCCCTCGAAGGCCTGGTTTCATCCGGAAGGTTGTCTGGTCTAATTAGCATATTATGCTTTTATTATTATAGATTTTGAGAGAGTGAGATCAATTCATTATTTATTCACTCATTGGTTCCTCTATGTACCCTGGCGTGGGAATGAATCCCAACTTTGGTGTATTGGGACGATGCTCTAACCAACTGAGCTACCTGGCTAGGGCTGTGTGTTTTTTATCCATTCAGCTACACTACATCTTTTTATTGGAGCATTTAATCCATTTACATTTAAAGTTATTATCATATGCATTTATTTATTGCCATTTTATTATATCTCCCTATGTTCCTCTCGCTCTTTTTTTTTTTTTAAATGAAGGCCCCCTTAACTTTTTGCAGTTCTGTTTTGGTGGTAATGAACTTCTTTAATTTAATTTTATTATTATTATTATTTTTGCATGGACTATACATTGGTTACACTGCTTTAAACCTTACCAAGAATATTGAATAGATGTTTGTGTTTATAGACAATCAAGGGTAGAAATGTTAAATAATAATTTTAATTTGCTATTTGAGAGTTGAGCCAACAACCTTTTATTCTTCCTCACTTTCCATACACAAGAAGGCCCAGAAAGAGACCTTGGGATGGGTCACTGTTAATGGTCACAGTTGTGTCATTCCTTGAGCTTCCCTTACCGACAGTCTTGGCTCCACATTAATGAAACAGTGTGTGCCAAAAGCTATCTTTCTATCTCTCCTCTACTACAGACTCCTTCAAGAATGATTCTAGGCTGTTCTCTGGATGAACCAACTAATAGAGGTCCCACATGCATCCTGTTTTTGTTGTGATGGATTCTTTTAAGCAGCTTTATTGAGGTATAATGGATACACAAAAAACTGCACCTATTTATTTCTATTTATTTATTTTTTAAAAAAATATATTTTATTGATTTCTTACAGAGAGGAAGGGAGAGAAATAGTCAGAAACATTGATGAGAGAGAAACATCGATCAGTTGCCTCCTGCACCCCCGCTACTGGGGATATGCCCGCAACCAAGGTACATGCCCTTGACCGGAATTGAACCTGGGACTTTTCAGTCCTCAGGCCGATGCTCTATCCACTGAGCCAAACCAGTCAGGGCAAAACTGCACCTATAAAAGCATACAATATGATAAATTTTGACATATGTATATACCTGTAAAACTGTTTCCACAATCAAGATAGTGAACATGCTTATCACCCCAAAAGTCTCATGTTCCCTTAACATTCCTTCCTCTGACCCTCTTGTCCCATTTCCTCTCCCAAGCAACCACAGATCTGCTGTCACTGCAATTTATTTCGCGTTTTTAAGAATTTTATTATAAATAAAATTATACTATATGTACTCATTGTGTCTAGCTTCTTTTAATTATTTTGAATATATACTATATAATTATTCTGATATTTCCTGTATCAATATTTCATTGCTTTCATTGCTGAATAGTATCCCATTATATGGATAGAGCAGTTTGTTTATTCATGCACCTGTTGATAGACATTTGGTTGGTTCTAGTTTTGGTCTATTATAAATAAAGCTGCTATGAACATTTGAGTAAAAGTCTTTGCATCAACATAAGCTTTCTTTTCTCTTGGGTAAATATGTAGGTATGAAATGGCTGAATCATATGGTAAACTTTTTGTTGTTGTTAATACTCACTCCAGGGTGTATATATCTATATATATATACATACATATATA